TATTTTATATGTGCACACTTTTGCTATGGGACCCATTATAGTACATTGTTATTCAGGCCAGGAGTTTAAAAGACATTATGAAATGTGTTAAATCAAAATTTATTTCTGGACATTACTCTTTATAATGAATTTGGAGGAAGAAAAATACCAAGTCGTGCTTCAAGGTAGGAATTGTTTCCAGGTATAGTCCCTTAAAATAAATTTTCCATAGAAACAGATTATTTCTTTGAACTGTTGCATTTTCCTCTGACCTTGCTCATCATTAATTATATTGTGGTAGTGTTTTGGTTTAATCCAAATCAATGATGAGTTTGGGGAGAACTCTGAGTCATGCTTATTTGCAGTTCTGATTTTTATTCAGTTTTAGGGTCACACAATGAAATCAGGTTTATATCCTCCCTGTTCCTTCATGATCTGGTTTGGATTCAGAACAGTGCAGAGTAGAGATCTGGCAAATAGGTAAATGGAAGTGTCACTGTTTAGTAGGTTGAGGATGAGATCGGTAACTATCTATGATGGGCTAATTTTATTAATTTTTTATTTATTTAGGAAATGGATGGTAGTGAGTGAAGTATAACTTGTGGGTTTTATAATATTCTTCTTTAAGCAGAGAAACTGGTGAAGAACTGTTGATATGGTTCAAATTAGCCATGGAAAAGCTGAGCAATATATTAGAACAATTAAATTCTGCTAGGAATATTTAATAAAGCAGTTTCTGTCATCCAGTTCTCACACTTTCTTTTAAAATATGCATTTAAAGCATTAGTGATGTTAGTGTAGGCTTTTTTATTCTGTCATTTTACTTCTTAATCTCTTTTGCAGAAAGAATATGGGACTCTGTGGGAGAATGTTCGTTTCAATATTTTTTCCTTTACAAAATTACTCTAAATTTTAAGAAAACAAGTGCATATTTAGGCTATCTGATATTTGACTCCATGTAAACTTTCAGAAAAAGTCTGTTAGGGGAGAAGACAATTTCATTGTTTCTTGCTGTTTAATTTCTAATTTATTTTTTTTATTGTAGTTTCTCAGAGAGTCATGCAATTTTGGTTTTGTTATTCTTGGGTTTTTCTTCTTTCCTGCTTGCAAGTTGTCAGTGACACAGTTAAAACTGTACAGTCCTCCATGGAGCTAGGAACCTATTTCTTTAAGGAAAGTTGGCCTTACATGCAGTGGTATCTCTTGATTTTTATTTTTCTTCCCTCCATTTACTAGGCACATATGGTGAGAGTTTCTAGTCTCATGTGTAACAAGAATATGCAGTTATAAGTGAGGAAGGGAAGGTAGGACTAGTAGATATGGAAATTGGTAAGCAAGAGGTTGGAGAGGTGGGTTGCAAGAGATGAATATGGCATTTATTGTCTGATTTTTCTTTATTTTTTCCAAGCAGTAGGGATACAAAAATACACTCTTAATTAATATTCCATATTAATATCAGTCATACTTTATTGTTCAAACCACTTGGTGTAAACTTCTCAATGGAAACTAAACTGAGGTTGACCTTCTGTTGAATTATTGGAGTGAAACGTCAGAATTGAGGTCTGGCTGAAAAAACGGTCCATAGAAGCTTTTTGACTTTTGTTGGCTTAGTGTTTGTATAGGCACCTGGATAAGATAACAGGAGAAAAGTTGATAAATATATCAACTGCTCAAGAAAGCATGGGGCAAGGAAGGGAGAAAATAAGTTTCCTTCTTTGAGTTATTCAATGGATGGATGCATAGTTTGGGAGAATTGGGGAACCACTTAGTCCTGCTGAAGGAACCTGAGATAAGTGTAGAGGAGTTGGGTGGTTTGGGGTTTTTTGTTAGGATTTGGAGGTTTTTTTCAGTCATTCATATAATTGCTTGTCTGTTTCTACTGTCTTTCTGCACCTCTTGGATTCATCAAAAGAAACACGAGAAATCCTTTGGCTGTTAATCTCAACAGGCAGTTTAGCAGCCTCTACTGGGCTTTTATTGCAACTTGTTGCATCTGATTTGCTGTCATTACAACAGTCTTTTTATGCACAATGTCTATAATCTGCACCATTAATGCTACAAGGAAATGCCGTCCTCTCTGCACTCACTCTCTTAAGAAATACTTAAAGCCAGGTTTCTAAATAAGCTTTTAGATAGATTACTTTTGTAGCATTTTAGCCATGTGAGTAAATCACAGATCAGATTAAAACCACAGAAGAGCACGTGCAATTTACTAGATGTAGCTGAAGTAAAAAGGGACTTATAAAGGTTGCATTGATTTGAGTTTGGGGAAGGTGAAGGTGTGCTGGTTACTGAGGCAATTCTGTGTATTTCCAAAAGCTGTTCTCCTGAACTCACAAAGGCTGTTTCCAGAATGGTAGCTGACCATAAATGGGGCTTCAGTCATTATGACCATATCATAACTTCAACTGGAATTATTCTATACAGCAGTTATGTTACTACCGGCACAATTGCCTGTGATATTTCTTACAGCATGGACTGGATGTGCAGTTGCAGTAAGAGAAGATTAGTAATGAACAAGAAATGCAGATAACATTCTAGTCTGTCAACTTCTTTGTAAAGATTTTGTCAGGTATAATTATCTCGTAAGGTCTGGTTTGGCAGAATTTACTCTGAAGAACACTTGCTTTATAAGTGTTTTGTGAAAAGTCAGTGTGATATTAAGGTTTGTATTGAGGAATTTCCTCTATGTTGAACATGTGCTCTGTCAGAAGAAAGGAGACTTTAAAATTTATTTATTTATTAGCTAGCTATTCATCCAGCATTATAATGGCCTAGTATTTGCCATCTGAATCATATTTCACGTTGTCATCTTTGAGTTTTTTAATAAACAAGAGAGGCAGTTTATTTTGCGACTCGTACTCATGGATCTGAGTAGCCTTTGGGAGATGACACATTGTTTACTTTGGTTTCAATAGTTTTCACAGAATAGAGCTTCACCAGTAGCTCCATCATGTTATGATTTCCAGGCCTTTTAAGTTGTCTGGGGATCATGCCAGTAGTCTTTAAAAGAACACAGCTAATTAATTCTTCCGGTTACTTAGTATTTCTGGCATAAATGAGCACTAGGATCTCTCTGTGTATCTCTTTTCAACATTATGAAGTCACACTGAAGGGTTTTTTTCGAAATAGCTAGAAGCAGGATGTAAAAGGATCAGTAAATGGTCATTACTACAAGAATAACTTTATCTTGTACTGCACTCCAGTATTTAAAAGTTTTACTTTGTAATTAAACTCTGATATTAATGGGTTTAGGAAGAATACTTTCTCTGGATTTTCCTTCTGGTAATTAATTTCTTGGATAGATTTTTCTCTTTACTTCTATTATGCTGTATTGCCTTTATTTTTATGCCCAAGTCTCTGAATGAAGCCGGAATGTTGCTGCCAGCAGTTTCCCTTACCTCCTATTGGTACCTTTTTCTTCTACAGTCTATTTACTGGCAGTCTTGGCTGTTCACTCTTGCATCTGTGCCTTTTATTTGCCACTGGTATATATAACTTTCTAACAACATTCTGCATGTCCTGCTGCTGAATCCTTAGTTCTGTGGCTGACGACAGCACTACGTGTTTGTTCCTTTGGCATGCATCTGTCAAAGTAGCTTTCAGTTCCTTTAAGCTTTCCTCTAGAGATGGAGTCTGAGTCCATTTTGTAGTTTCTTTGCAACATCAATATTTGGGGAAAAAAACCTTTTAATCTGTCTTTACTATAGTAGAGAGGCCTCATGAGGCCTTGTTACTTTCTGCTTCAGACTTCTGTAAGGTTAATAGTCTTTTGATGCTCTGCAGTAGGTTGGGGTTTTTTTAAGTGATGATTGGAGAGAGACCTTCATATTCATATGATAGAAGTGCATTTTTTTTATGTTATGTAGTCAGTGCAGCCATATTAGTTGCTTATTGTAATTGAAATGGAAAAAAACCTCCTTTTTTGTTTTTGTGAATATGTTGGAGTATATTTCTCTGTGAATGAAAATAGTGGAATCAGAGCCTACTGGGTTTATTTTTATCCATAATACGGTAAATGTAATCATATTCCACCATGTTGCCACATTTGATGCACATGTACAAAAATTTCTTAGTAACTTCAGTAAAATTATAGAGTGGATGTTAATTCTAGCTCTTTCTGCACTAACTGCCTGCATCCATCTTGGTTCTAAGCCACTGAAACTTAAAAGTACAGTAGTAAAATAAAAATAAGCAGTCTCCCAAGTTTTGCATGCTACCAACGCATAATTGGACTTCAGAAGTGTTGGATGATGCCCCATAAGTAATTTTATGTCTCATGAAGATGCAGAAAACTTTCTCTGTAGCACTACTTTGAATTTTAAGATAATGGTTATAATAGTTGACAGTTTTAGAGTAATAACTGGAAATTGTGTTTTATTGAGACTACAGACACTGAAAAATGAGCTAGAATACAAAATATTTTGTTGAAATGAAGCCATTAGGGTGATGATGGGGTTTAAATACTGTTTTTCAATTTATTCTGTGTGGTTTTTTGAAAACTCTACATGCATTAATCTCTTTCCATGGAGTTTTTGCTGTAACAACTGTGAAGGTGCTTTTTTTGCCCATCTGATAAAATTTACATAAAGAGTAAGTACAAACTTCTTAGTACTGTACAGGGAACTTGAGATGGAGATTATAGAATTTACTGTTCTGATAGAGTGTATTGTGATATGGGTTGCTTTAATGTAGGTTAGAGAAATTGGAAAGAAAAATAAGAGGTCTTAGGAGGATTGAGAGGGGACTAACTATTTAGTAGGAAGTCTTACGTACTGTTTAGTAGACAAGGGGTGGAAAAATGGCATTTGCTACTGAATTATGGTAAACCGATTTTCTTCTTTTAATGGAATCCTCTGTTTTTGTGGACTTGCTGTGATCTTGTCAGATACAAATTTTAATTAGGGAAGTGTTGCAGTACAGTTATTGATAAACTCATGTTTCATTTTTTTGTGGAGTGGTTTTTTGTTACGTCAAAAATACCTGTTTTCCGTGTCTCAAGGCTTTCCTTTCTCTTCCAGAAAATGCTGGGACAGAAGAGATGAGTACTCCCTTTACTAAGGCCTAAAACTGCCTGTTGAAAAACAATCCTGACCAGGCAATATACGAATGGCCCAAGGAAGCCAGCAAATTGATATTCAGGTTTTACATGACCTGCGACAGAAGTTTCCTGAGGTACCTGAAGGTGTTGTATCCAGATGCATGTTACAGGTCAGTGTTCTGTTGATGACTACGAGTAAGCAGCAGTGCTTATTTTAAGCATTCTGTATGGGTGCCTCCTTTGAAAACAGTTGTTTTTCTTACTAGTTTTCTTTATAAGTGAGACAAATACAACCAATTCCTTTATTTTGCACAGCAAGCAAAGTGTTAAATTGGCCTCTCTTTTTCAGTGTCTAATGAGGGGTGGCGCAAGGTAAACCAGTTTATAAATCAGTAATCGGTGTGTGCATGGAGACTATGGTCTCACCAATCAGTATGCTCATGCCTTTTGACCATCTCAAGAGTCAAAACTAACTGTGGCAAAAGGAGGGATGCAAAGCCAACTTGAGTCCAACAGGGACAATTTAAGGCAATGCTACAAAATGCATTATTTTTTAAATTTTATTTTGGTTTTGATTTGAGGTTTAGAGCAGGTCCAGAAGCAACTTTGCTATCTAGTCTCCATCAGACTTTGAGGTAATTAGTGGGCCCTTGCCTGCAATACAAGTTGGCCCCAGTGCTTTCCACTCCCAATTCCCTTGGCCTGCAGAGACAGCAGTGGTGGCCTTAGGTAACTTCTGCAGCAGCAAGTGTGATGTGGGCACACCCAGATTCTCTGTCTGACTCAGGCTCAATCAGGCAGGACTAGATGGTTGTAGCTTAACATCCACCGTGTAAGACCTGAGTGGGTGTGATGCACTGGTGTGCTTCTGCCCAGTGCTTCCCAGGGCTTTGGCTGCCAGATGGGCTTCATTTGTTTTGCTGTAGCTCTGGAGTCCATGTGGCTAATTAATGAATTTCTATTGGGCTTGAAAGTAACAAAGCGTTTTTCACAGGTGCTGCAGTTAGTGCTAAGACCGTGGACTGATGTTCTCAACGTCTATGTGCTGTTTTTAATGCTGCCACTATCAGGATATGTGCCCATGTTTTGTATCAACTTCTACTCTATAATATGACATTACCTACTTCAGCAGATAAATCAGTATCCAAAGTCCAGTAGGGACTCCTAAATGCCTAGAGTTAACAAGTGCTGATAGACTTACTTAACTATGTTCCTTAAGCATGTTTGCTTTGCATTTTCCAGAGGTTCAAAGCATCCATACTGATTGAATTTTTTTCATTATCTAAGATACTCAACCTTTGAGTACTCAAGTTAATGAGAGAATTATCTTAATATTCATACTGATAATCTGTAAACAACACTTGATTTGAAAAATGATGGGTCATGGCTTCCCAGAAGCTAATAGTCTCTGGACTATGACTAGGACATCCATAGTTATGAGTCAACATCCTTTATATCACAATTGTTTGTCTTGCTATTTATATGTATTTTTATTTATGAAATACATATGTGTGTACTCACAAATGTATATGTACTCACACACATACATCCAAATACAGTGTTAGTACTCTTGGTAATAGAAGTGTGACTGTGCCAGTTTAACATTCATATTTTCAAGACTTTATCATGACTCTCCATTCTTACTAAGAAGAATCATTAGACTAAGAAGCTGTGAAAAGTGCAGTCCTTCAAGAGAATTGCTTTTGATTTACAAGAAGGCAAAATTTTGCTTGGGGCTCATGAGGTGTCAAGCTTTCCCCAACCCCTTCTTTCTAATTATTTAGCTGAAGAGGAAACTGAACCAGACTGTTTTCAAGACTGTACACTGCAAGTTTTATATTAGTGCTCTGTAGGACTTAATACTACAAGTACAGTTTTGTTCTTAAAACATGAGAACTACTTGTTGAGCAAGGTCAGTGGACTTGACAGGGTGAATGCATCAGTAATCACCTTTTGAATGTAATTCTTGATAAATTTAAAAGCTAATGCTTGTCTTTAGGGAGACTCAGCAGACTTCATAACATTGAATATGGTGGATTATTTTTTTTTAATAAAAAGAGCCTTATAATTGTGAAAAAAAGATACTGTACATCCCATATTTTGACAGATTTATGCAAGGAGGGTTTAGCTTTTGAAGAAGTGTTTTAGGTCAGCTTTCTAAAGAGACTCTTTAAAAAACACTTCCATGTTTTTATTTGTGGGTTGAGTTCTATGTGTGCAATATTGTTACACTAATTTGTTACACTAGAAAGCTACCTGTTTTTGTTAGTTAACCCAGAGCTAAGACTCACCAACAGAATCCTGTCATCTCGGTGGTTCTTTGAAATTTTGTGAGCTCTGGTTCCTCTGACTCAGTTTCTAGCTTTTCTGCTCTGAGGTACTAGGGCTTTTTTAGTTTTGTGTTTTGTGGGTTTGTTTTTTTGCTTGCTTGCTTGTGTTTTGGTTTGTTTGAGGGGTTTGTTGTTATAAAAGCTGCCTAACATGACTTCTTTAAACCAACAAATTTTGTAGGAAAGATTGAAAAGCAGAATTTGAGAGTACTTGTACACATGTTTGCAATACTGTTGCAACAGTGTGTGAATCCTGAGTTCTGCTGCCCTGTAGTTAAGCATAGTGAAAGGAATTCCAATAAAGGCAGTAAGTGGTTTAGGTCAATGACAAGTACTTGAGGACATTATCAGGTATAAAAAATGGTGTGTTTGCCTTACTTCCACAATACCTAATGTGTCTGATATGTCAGGGTGAAGTGATTCTTAAGCTAAGAATTATAAGATATCCTAGGAGAGAATCTGAAAGAGTTTAAGCAGTTAGGCAGTTTATAATATTATTGATGAGGCTTTTATAACAAGGAAAGTTTCTTCAGATCACTGTGAATTATGCATGAAAAGCTATACAGATACTTCAGTCCTCCTCCTTGAATTCTTTTTAGCCAAACACAGCTTAATTTTAAACAAAGGTTTGTAGCATTATATGCTTATAATGAAAAAAATTATGGATAAAGAGAGTATGCAAATGTCTCAAGGTAAATAGGTCACTGTTGAAATGTCTAAGCAATATATAGCATACTAAAAACAGAGAACCACCAAAGATCCAATAGGATGAAACTTAAACCCTCTTAATTAGGGAGTAAAAAGTCTTAGGCTGACAGCACTGAATGTTCCTAAAAAGTTTTGTATCCCTCTGTTCTTCCCAACAAGCCTTCTGCAATTCAGCTCTTCCATTCTCCTCATTTAAAGGAGTCACTGCAGTGCTTGTGGTCTGTGGACATTGTTCCCTGTTGTTCTGTTTTTTGTGTCTGGAGCATTCTGTAATGCCTGCTCCTCAAGTCTACGTCCTCTCCTTGCTTCCTTATTTCCCTCCAACATTCTTATTCTTTCTTTTTTTTTCTTTCTCTTTCAGGGTGCCAACATTTTAAACTCAATTGGGACATGGGCAGAGATAAGATGAGGGGGTATTGTTTTGCTGGAATATGCTCAGTTCTGCCATCAACCGGTTCTCTGATCTATACAGAGCTAGAAGCGGTTGAAACTCTACCTCTGCCAGCCAGAAGATGCCAGGGGTTCCATGTGCCCCCGTTTCCCCTTTGAGTTCTCCAATTTTCTCATTGACGTCACTGAAATTTTGGAATTGATTGGATGCAGTCTTAAAAAGAAAAAAAAAATTGTCCAAAGAAATGCATTCAAGCTGAATGTAAGGGCCTTGCAAGCTTGGCCTGTTCCTTTTTGGTTTGGTATTTTTGGCCTTTCTGTTAATAATTTTAATTCACTTAAGTTCATGCAAAATCTGCCTTTAAGATCTTTCTAGCTTGTTTTTCTGTGGCATCCTATCTTTTTCTCTTTTCTGGCTCCCTTTTCTCCTTTGCAACAAATACAAGGCTATTGTTCTTATCTTTTCTTACCCACTGTTCTGTCTGTGTGTTTCCTTTCTTCACTACTAACTTCCTTTGATTACTTTGTTCTCTGGTGCTTATTCCAAACTAGAGCCAATACACGTATCATCAATTTCACCCATTTTCATATATATGAAGACTTTTCTGCAACAATCGTTATATACAGTTGTCTTATTAGATAGCCTTTAGGGAATCCTGTTATTTTAAGAGGTTTTGTGGCTGGGTTTTGTGGGGGAATTTTTAATTTTTTTTAAAAAGTTCAGAACTGCGTCTGGTCTGTATGAACACATAGTTTTGGTTTTGTGGGTGGAGTTTAGCCTTGTCATCCCTCTCCCACTTCTGTTTTCATTTTTTTCTTTTTTTTTTTTTTTTTGTAAATGTGTAAGGTAGAGATGGTCTTGCTGTGTCTGCACAACACTGTCACCCTTCATCTTGGTTGAAGGATGAGAAATAGGTCTGCTAGTTTAACAAAAGTAACTTGATAGAAAGCATGTAGCATGGATCAATTTATCTTGCTTGTGTTACTCTTTAACTAACTGATCACGTTACTTTTTGGCATGTGCAGTTTTTTTCCTTGGTCACATGCATTCTTTCTAATAACTGTTTTCTGTGTGCTGGATGAATTTGACACCTCTTTAGTTTTATTAACATCTGGGCCTGAACAGATGCTCTTCTGGCTGAAAGTATTAATCTTTATTTCTTGGGGGGTGAGGGGAGGGAGGTTCTGTAAGAAAAGTGATATAGACAGAGCACAATATTAAGAAATTATGCCACTGACGCATGTTCACTCTTTTCTAAAAATCCTTATGTAGGAAACTAAATTGGGAAGATCGGAATACAGTATTACTAAACATGTGGAAAAAGAGAAGAGAGATTAGCAGTTTGCTTCTGAAATGTTCTTAAAAAGCAAATTAGTTAGGTTGTGGTTTCTTTTCTAAGTCATCCTATTACAGATTTTATGAAGTAACTTTGTACAAATATAAATATTTAGGAGCTGAGCAAGCAGTGGTTTAAAATGAAAATACAAATGTCCCCTGGGTTTTCCATTAATAGTTTCATATTGAAAAAGAGTAATCCTGCAGTATTTGTATAAACTGAATTTTTACATTTCTTCTGAAGTCATGTAAAACTCCTCGGGTCAGCATGTTTCTTCTCTACATAAAATTCACTTTCCATTTTCAGTAGCAGGTAATGCATAACTGGTATTGAAGTATTTGGGAAAACATTTAAAATAAACATATATTTTTATTTTTGTTTTTAAGTTGTTAACCAATAACGTGCAGATGCTCTGAATCCACTTCTGTTGTCATTTTCCTCCTCAAGCCGGAGATTTGGTCTCTGCTGAAGATTATTCTGAAATTGAGAAGGAATAGGAAAAGTATTCATCCAAGGTGTATCATATTGTATAGTGTTAGCTTGTCAAGGTCCAGGATCTCCCTGTCATTGCTTCAGCAGCAATGCTGACCTCTGCCCTTGGTGCCTCTGGCTGTCTCTGTTCTCAGGATAGTAAGCTTCACATGCAAGCCCCTTGTGTGTGCATAGCAGCTGTGCTAGCCAGCCACCTAAAGCTTTCTGTCTGATGCTACATTGTTAATTTATCAGTTGTGATTGGGTGTGTAAGTGTATAACTATGACAATATTTAATCACTAATGTCAAACTTGCATCTGTCTTTTATAGAATAACAATAATTTGGATGCCTGTTGTGCAGTTCTCTCTCAGGAGAGCACAAAGTATCTCTACGGTGAAGGAGACCTAAGTTTTTCGGATGATTCTGGGATTCCTGGACTACGAAATCACATGACATCTCTTAATTTGGATTTGCAGTCACAGAATGTCTATCCCCACGGAAGAGAAGGAAGTAGAATGAATGGAAGTAGGACTCTAGCTCACAGTGTTAGTGATGGACACCTTCAAACCAGTCAGTCCAACAATGAACTGTTTCAACAGGAACCACAGACAGCACCTGCGCAGGTTCCACAAGGATTTAATGTCTTTGGGATGGCTAATACAGTTAGTACTTCTAATCCAGGGCAGCATCTTGGATTTCACCTAGGCAGCAAAGGAGTATCTAACTTGTCTCAACAAACGCCCAGATTCAACCCCATCATGGTAACTTTAGCCCCAAACATTCAGCCTGGTCGCAATACCCCTACATCTTTGCACATACATGGTGTACCTCCTCCTGTACTTAACAGTCCACAGGGAAATTCTATCTATATTAGGCCTTACATCACAGCTCCCAGTGGTACCTCTAGACAGACACAGCAACAACCAGGCTGGGCATCTCAGTTTAATCCCGCGCACCCTCAGCAAGTCTACCAGCCTTCGCAGCCAAGTCCCTGGACTACTATTCCTACATCCAGTACTACGCCACATACCTCATCGCAACACTCAACACAGCCAAACCAGCAAGGCCACCAGACTTCTCACGTCTACATGCCTATCAGTTCTCCTACTACTCCACAAGCACCTATGATTCATTCATCTGGTAGCTCTCAATCTTCTGCTCACAGCCAATACAACATTCAGAATATATCCACAGGACCTCGCAAAAACCAAATTGAAATCAAACTTGAACCACCACAAAGAAATAGTACTTCTAAGTTGCGTTCAACTGGCCCTCGCACCTCCACTGCTCCCTCTTCCCTCAACAGCCAGACATTAAGTAGAAGTCAACCCACTGTTTACATATCGGCCAGTCCTCCAAATACTGATGAAGTGATCACACGTGGTCAGCCCAAGGTCTACATTTCAGCAAATGCTACAACAGGAGATGATCAACTTGTGCGGAACCAGCCCACGCTTTTCATATCAACAAATCCTGGAGTATCTACTACTGCTAGGAATATGTCTGGTCAAGTAAGCATGGGTCCTGCATTTATTCATCACCATCCACCCAAGAGTCGAGCAGTGGGCAACAGCACCACTGCAACCTCTCCTCGAGTGGTGGTTACACAGCCTAACACAAAATATACTTTTAAAATTACAGTTTCTCCAAATAAGCCCCCTGCAGTTTCCCCAGGGGTAGTATCCCCAACTTTTGAACCTACAAACCTTCTAAACCTTCCTGATCACTATGTTGAACCAGAGGGTATCCAGCATCTTACTGACCCTGTTTTAGCACATGTGGATAGGATCAGTGATGCACGGAAATTGAGTATGGGATCTGATGATGCTGCCTACACGCAAGGTAATATTCTTAATATAAATCGTAGAGATTTTGACCAGGTTGTCCATTCAGTGTGTAGATTACAGAACAGAAAACAGTTAGTAACCTTTGTGATGTTAATACGGTATTGTCAACTTTAGCATTCATGAGCATTTCTAAATAAATAAAAGTGCTTCATAAGCAAATCACAGATTTCTTTTTATGGTAAAGACATGTAACTGAATACTTGGAGATAATTCTTCTGTTTGTCTTAAGTAGATATGTTATCTGTTTAATGAAATGGAGTCATAACATCTTCATTTTTATGTTGTTCTGAAAGAAACATCTACTCTTATTCAACTTGTCTTAATGACTTAAGGTACAAGTCCAATGTCAGATTTTTAAATCAGTTGAGATACTGTTTCCATTGCGTAATGTTCCCATTTTTTCTTTTTGCAAGTGTTATTTAAGAAAGAAGAGAAGCAGACTTCGAAAGCAATTAATGGGATGAAGTCTTGGCCTCCATGTTCCCTACTGTGTGCCTGACAATAAAAATGTTAAAGTCTTGGTACTTAATTCTGTTACGTTATAAAACGTTAGAAGGAACACCACACCAAAGTTAGCTGTTTTACAGGATCAGTGGTAATGGAAGGGTAAAACTTAAAATATGTGATATGGCAATATAACCTGTTAATCTTTTTTCTTCTGTTTTCATGGGTTTGCATGCTTTTATTACATACTTGATGGTTTATTAACCCTCCTGTGGACTTGTTTTATATAAAGATGCTGAATGAGTTTTAGGATATTTAAGCAGTATTCAGGAGAAGTTGTCAAAATAATTTGTCTTTGACCTCATTGGTCCTCTTTGGACCTACCAAACAGTTCAGAATTAGAAAAACGGGCTTGTTCCATGCCCACTGTAAACATTCTTCATATGAATTTAGCCATTTTGTTTTATGTAAGTAAGTACAGTGATCAGGAGACTAGAAGCCACGACTGCATCCGGAATACTATATGAAGTAAATGAACACTGATTATAGCTTGTGCACTACTTCTGGATGTAATTATCTTTGGTGAGGAGTAGTCAATCCTAACTCAAAAGTTTCTAAAGGTTAGGTGTGAAAACCAAAAGCTCATCGTCCTAGACTGTCTTTTACATTCAGTGCGTAGTTAAAGAACTTCGGAAAATTACTCATCTGTAGATAAGGAAAACAAATTGGCCCCCAGAAGTCATATTCCCTTTCCTTAGTTTGAAGGGAGACTTGACTGGTTCTTTTAGTTTTAGTCCTAGAAGATTTTATATACCCAGAAATGAAGCAGCTGAAATCTTGTCCTTAGGCTCTAAATACTCTTCTAAATCATGAACTTGCTTCCCAAGCATTCTGCATTTTGAGTACTTTTTGATGTAGGGTATCCCTTTCTCCTGTTTTGCCTTTCTGATGGCACTGACTTCTACCAGGTCTAGTTCTTTACCTCTTGTACTCTTGGTAGCGATGGCCACTGTAACCTGCACAGTCTCTATAGGCTGCAGGTATCAGCATTGAGTTTATCAAGATGAGGCAAGCTTGATACACAACATAAGAGTTCAGAAGTGTTGACCTCATACCTGCTGTGGAGCCCAACTCTTCCTGAAGCCAAGACATAAATGCAGCTTTTAGATGAAGTGTAGATGCATGATGTGGGTTGGTGCAGCTTTAGGGACCTCAGGGAAAGATCACCTTTCTGTGTCTTTCACTAGTTCATATAAGGTATACTCATGCTTCCGAAGTTCTTTACATCCAGAAGATTTCTGGCATATGTACTTAATTTCTGCTGCGGTAAATGCAGTATTTTTTACATTTTCATTATTATTTAATCTTTGGAAAGGTGAAGTCTGTGATAGGCTTGCTTGTATAGAATTGATACCTGAAAGTCCTAATTATTGCCTTTAAACATGTTTCTTTTACTTAGCAATGGGTTTTTTTCTATTATATACAAGAAGGGATTTGAGTTGCTTGATGCTTTCTTTTGTGAGGTTGTGTTCTAAAGTGCTTATAATTTAGCCAGACTGTGCCAAAAACCTTCCATACGAGGTGATTGTCTCATTCTAATTTTAACCAGAACAGATGAGTAGTTTCTCTGGCCATGATTAGAGAAAAATGTATTTTCATCAGCTTTTCCATTTCTGCCAGAATGCTCCTTATCTTGGCAAGAAGAACTGAAACTGGCTTGGAGTAGAAGGAGCCTTGGGGTAGAAGGTGGAGTTGCTTTGGTGTCAAAGAAAGTTTCCTGTACTTTTTTATTTGCTTTACATTTATATGCGTGGTCCAACCCAGGAGAACAGAAGATGTGTTGGACCTATCTGCTGCTGTCTGCCATCTGAGAAGCTTTACTTAATTATGTGTGTAGGCACTCCAGTCTCCTTCCACGATTAGATTTCTCTTTGTCCTCCCAAGTAAGTCGCAGCAGATAGTAGGTGACTTCCCCAGATCTCTGTCTTGTTTGCTGCCAAATCTGGAGATTATGTAGTGTGAAAAGGAGTGAGTACTGCTCAGAAAAAAATGATTGTTGTTACCGTGGAATGCTCGGTTATATCTCTGGCACTGACTCTGTGATGCTAAGAAACTCACCAGACTTATCAGAAGTGGTTGCTAATGGATGTTTCTCATTTTCTGGGATTCCCGTTTGAGATACTGTGGACATGCTTGTGGAAATGTTCAGCATCTGCATCCGCTACTGAAGTCAGTAAGAATTAATAAAGCTGTGAGAAGAGTAATGCTAGGTGCATGCCCAAAAGGACAGCCGAAAGAGGATGCATTTTTATGCCAATGTGTTTAGTATCAGTTCTCTGTATGTAGAGGAATATTGGTTCCCATTATTTAGCAGAGATTTCAATTTATAATTAGTTTTATTGATATGAAGTAGGTGAGATTTCAATGTATAATTTAGTTTAAAGTCTCTTATGGATGAAAAAAGTGAAATCCTGTTAGAAACGGAAAATTCTGTACTCAGATATGTTGCTATGGTGTGTGTTCACTCTGCATGTACTCATGTGTTGAATAGTGAGGCTAAATCATTATTTAATAGTTGTTCATTCTGTGTGTAGCTTTCCATCTGTATAATGGGAAGACATCCCATCAAGAAAATGCATAATTGTGTAATAAAATCTTTAGGTAGACATTTCTTACTTGGGAGCTTAAGTCCCTTAGTTAAGTATTACATGGCTTTGACTGTCTGATTATTGTCTTTAGCCTGGGAAGGGGATGGTATGCAGAGTGAATCGTTGATACCATCTATAGGTGGTATATATGTGGGTGCATGTTTGCTTAGCAATTCTTGCCACTGTGTTTTTAATGTAAATAAGTGAATTGATAAACTAGATAATTAAATTAACATTTTGCTCTGTTCTTGCTTTGGCTTCTTGGAGCTTTTTAAAATTTTCAAAAATAAAAAAAGCTGCAGGAAAGAAGTTTCCCAAATTGCTATCAGTCCTTGTAGATGCTTAGGAAAAAAAATACTTCAATGAGATACAGCTGTGCCCCATGCTCCAAGAGGCTATGAGCCCATTGCATCATGTGATCTAAGAAAAAAATGCAGCCTTATATTTGGCTCTCTATGTCAGGCCCCACTCTTCAGTGATGCTCTCTTTAAAAAATTAAATGAAGAGAGTGTTGAAAAGGGAGAACAAAAAAAAAAAATTCAGTTTGAACTATTGAAGTTGCATATCAAATGACTGAATTCTGTGCAGCTTCAAAGACAGATTTTGAAAACATGCACCAACATAAGTGTGTCCTGAGACTTTCACAAACCTACTGCCGCAGAGTAATTGCGTTGCCAGAATTCCCCTCCATATTTGGCAAACCAAGAAATCTCAGAAATTCATAGGTCTGTAGAATAGGGTGAAATCATTGCATTCCCAGATTAGCTTAGAAACACAATAACAGAAGACACTCTAGATTTAAAATTCACATTCAAAGAGGCCTTGAGAAAACAAGTATGCCTGCATTTCTGAACTTACAAGTGTACTCAGAACCCGACTGAGTAGGTCTCTAGGAGAGGAAGAGCGAACTTTTGTCCTCTAGACTTTCATACTCTCTGTAATTATAATGATATACAGCCTTTGTGTGAAAAATATGCACTTTGAATATCCAAAGAAGCAGTGGCATCTGCTAGATTATTAAGTGTAATGTGCTTGTCAGTCTGTTGAATGCAAACATGCAGAAGTTGAAAAAAATTGAAGTACCTTGTTTGCACGTAATTAAGAAGTTGAACTGCAGTGTTTTTCTGAACGTTTTCAGTTGCTCTGAGCAACGCTAGAGGGAGCTGAATACCTAAATTGCCGGTTTACATTTATAAATAATGCAGTGGGATATGAGGAGGGGTTTGTCTTCCCCAACTCATTTTTTTTTCTGCAGCTGCCCGTTTTGTATTTAAGGAAAATTGCCAAATTCTGTGTGAAAGTCTCCACTTAAACTAATGTCTTCGAATTCCTTATCCAGATTACTTTTAGTGGTAGAAGTATAGCATAGCAATACAGAATGCAGTTGTTTAGAGCATGGTGCTAATAATGCCAAGGTCACAGGTTCAATTCCCACCATATGGACCATTCGCTTAAGAGCTGGACTCAATGATCTTTCTGGATCCCTTCCAAATCAGAATATTCTGTGACTGAGTTAATATCAAGTGATTCTTCCTTAATCATAATGGTAGTTTTGTAATGAGTGTTTTCAAAACTTGTTGGGATTTGAAATTGTAAAATGATAAAGTAGTCACAAAGCTGGTAGGAGAATAAATGGCATCACTTTACAGACCTGGTGTGAAAATGTAGAGCAAGTAATAGTGCTGTGGGCATCCATCAGTGCCTTCTGCCCCTTGTGCGGTTCCATGACAACTAAATTTCTAAACCACAGAAGTGGGAGAACATTGAAATGAGAATTTGTGGTGGTTTTCCCTTTTACGAGAGTAGCTGAAACAAAAAAGGAGGGGGGGGATGCACAGGTCAAAGTCTTGAGTCCATGCTGTGCCACCTGGAGATATTCTGGTAACATTTTTCCGTACCTACCACATCCAGTGGTACTGGCTGCATGCCAGCAGCCTACATCTGTAGATCGGAAGAGTTCTGAGTCTGGTCAGTAGAGCACAGCTGTGTTGCTGCAGGTCAAGTACCAATAACCTGAGCTTTGAGATGTTGTCTCAGCAGTAATACCAAAGCAGTAAAAATAGAAGAGACTGTCTAAAAGTGGAAATTAAGTGTAGAAGGAAAAAGGGCCTGTATTCTCCCTGCAGGAATAGAGACAAAGTAGCTTTTGATTTCATTTCTTTATAGTTGCAACTGCATTTGTAACTACTGGGGTTCATAAATGAGAAAAGTTTCTTCCACTATTTTTAAAAGACTTTTCAAGAGGGGATATTGTCTTTTGAGAACGCTTAACTGATAATTCAACAAAAATCTTTACCTTGAGATTTCAGTTATTACATTTTTATATTACATATGAGCACAGTTGCAGCTTTAACTATGGTGTGACTACTTTGACCTGAAATGAAGGTACCTCTTTATGCAAACTTCTCTGATTTGATCGAAACCTAGCAGAAGCTTCATCAGCTTTGTCATTTCAGTATCTTGTGAACATGTGACTCAAAAGCCTAGACTGGATCTCAGTAAGGCTTTGCAGTCTGTAACACTGTACAAAAATAGTTTGGCATGGTTCCTATTTTTGAAGAACCTCTGGAAGACAAAATATGATGTGGGAATGAATGAACAGGCAGGAGTTGCAGCAGAAGACAGTTCTGCCTGCCAGAGATGTGGAAAGTTGCATCTTTTTGATGTGCTATTTTTTCCTTTGCTACTACTCAGGAAACCTAGGCAACCAAATTTGAGTGCTTCTAATTTTTTGGTACCTGAAGAAATCATGATGAACTAAATATTATGTTACAGCTAGAGTTTGACTTAAAGACCTTTGTGAGGCACATTCAGTCTTTTGGAACGTCTTGTTATTGCTACTTTTTTATAATGTCTTCGGTGCTATAAAAGTATCCATGGTCTATGAAACTGCTCCCAATTTGTGTGAATTACTGATTTAATGGATGAATTAATGGCTATGAAGAAGTTGAAATGATTGCTGGATTTATTTAAAGAAATACTTTTTTTGTAGAAGGTTGCTTTGAGCAGTGTTATCTGCTTTTGTGGTGATATTTAATAGTAAATCTACTTTCAATGAAATGAACTCATTAAACTGCATGAATTTGCATCTTCTGCTGCATACATTCTTTGTACCTTTAAAAAGCTGTGGTTTAAATGCTAACTTCATTGTTTCTAAATTGGGTCTCCTCATACCTTTTGCTTTACAAATAGCAAGCAGTGTTAGAAGCTGAGCTAATGGTTCTGCACCATAGTTTAGGGATAAAATTACATACAATCCAGCCTCTGTGATAAATATCACTGTTTCCTAGTCATATTGCTTATTTCTGGTTTAGTTTCAGTTGGTGTGCCCTGTTATGATGAACACTGGATTATGTTCCAATCTTAAGAGCAATAAACATATCTAGTGCTGCATATTGCAGTTGTCTATCCTCTTTATGCTGTTTTACAGTGGTGAGGCTGAATGCAGTGCAAAGAAACATTTGTTGTTGGCTTCTGGTAGTCATTCTTGTAGGTTTTTAGAGATTACAGTTAAATTTTGCGTGGTCCTCTATTATGATGTATGACTCATTTTATTCACTTGTCTATAATTAATTTGTGCTGCTTTCAAAAATACAGCACATTCTGTCTTATGACAGAGATTTTCTTGTGAGGAAAACGGAAAAGCAGTGGTTTTGTCTGTATTTTCCCAGAAGGATACTAACTTGCTTCTTTATCTGATGTTGCCATGTGAAGGATAATAAAGTAGATAAAATGGGACTTTATGTATTGCAGCTTTACTGGTACACCAGAAGGCCAGGATGGAGCGACTTCAACGAGAACTTGAGGTTCAAAAGAAAAAGTTGGATAAACTAAAAGCAGAGGTCAATGAAATGGAGAATAATCTAACACGAAGGCGCCTGAAAAGATCGAATTCTGTTTCCCAAATTCCATCAGTAAGTTGAAACGTCTGTAGGCTATCAACCTAAACCACAAGTGTGGTCTGTCACAATAAATTGAAGGAAGAGTTGTTCATATATGGACAATATACTAGTGACAGGCAGTATAGCTAGAATTAAGCTGGTAAACAGTGTAGCTCAGAGTAAAGACTAAATATGCGTTATTTAACCACAGCCTTGCAGTTCACTAATTGCTTTGTGAAGTATTGCTTTTAAAGGCAGTCACAAAAGGTTTGGCCTGCTAGTCCTTTCTAACATTTCAGACTACAATTTAATACTCATACTGCTTTCCACACCAAATATTCTTTGGTCTTTGTGCATATACCAATCTTGAGGAAACCGATTTAATGCACCAGTTTTCAGTGCATTCAGCCGTTGATTTGGTGGACCATTGGCTATGTCCTGACCACAGTCTGGAGTTGTTCAGTCAGCTCTGAAGCCTGATGTGAGAGAATTAGTAAATGGGTTTGAAGGATTTTTATAAGATCATGCTTGGATTAAAAGAAAGGTGGTCATAAGGGAAGATTTTTAATCTTCATTTCTAAAATAACTAAATGCTGTCTACCTGTGTGTGAATGATAACTGTTAATAAAGTGGGGAAATTTAGTCTAACAGGCAGATTTATTTTTCCAGCTGGAAGAAATGCAACAGTTGAGAAGTTGTAACAGACAGCTGCAGATAGACATAGATTGCCTAACCAAAGAGATTGATCTTTTTCAAGCAAGAGGTACAGTATGTCTTAGTACATCAGCAACTGTAAATGTTGATTTTTTTTCTTTTTTTTTTCACTGTCTGCATTTATCAAAAGAGTCTGTGTTATAAGTGATGGACACTGTTTGCAAAATCATCACATTAGTTTGAGCGAAACCATGGAAGTAACTGTCTTTTATGCTTGTTTTTGTTGGCTTTATGATTTTCCTAATTCCACGGTTGTTCCTGTTTCATACTTGGCTCAGAAGAGAGAAACTTGTGATGCCATTTATTTAATAAATGCTGGGGGGAAAAATCTGGTTATCTGAGTATCAAAGCGAGAAAAAAAGTTTTTTAAACCATACAGCTATACATATGTGTCCATCTCTCTCTTTTGTCTTCCACGTCTGTCTGTATTCAGCCTCTCAAGTTAGTAAATATAAACTACAGTTGTAATTTCCAGTGTGCTCTCCTCCTTCCACTTTCCTTGTCTGCAGGGACACAGCCTGTGGTCATGAGGGTGAAATTATGAGACAGCTGAGCCAATTCAAGAGCTGCCAACAAGAGATCCCGCTCTCTTCCTGCTTCCCTCTTATGCCACTTAACTGAGCTCTGGCTCTGTATTAGTCTTTTAGACCCTTTGCAGAGCTAATTCTGTCCACGAGCCAAGCAAAAACTGTTGCATTGCTGGAAGAGCTTGCTACAGCTCATGTGAGGGAGAGGCATGGGTCGGGAGAACTGAGATAGTGAGACAGAAGGAACCAATGCTTCCCCCTTCCAGCAGCAGTGAGCTGTTAGGTCAGTTCAGACATAAGCCATGGAAGTTCTCCTTCAGACAATATACCTGCAGTTAAGGAGAAGGTAGACAGGTGTACTGAATGTAATGCTGCACTAAAAACCTGACCTGAAATAGAATATTTAAATTGCAGGTGACTTCTTTTATCTGTTTGTTACAGTAAATTGGATGTAGGACTTCCTCTGAGTATTAATTCTAAGCATGTATCTCTGAGTATAGTTGCAATTTAGAAAAACCTAAAATTTACTAATAGAACAGTGTTAAAGCATAGCAGAAAAAGATACCTTTAAGGAGTTTAATCTGCTGGATTCTGTCTCTAGGTTGCGTATTTTGGGCAATAAGTTTCTTAAAGTGTATTGTTGACATCGCTTATATCTCACTTGGGTCTGTATTGACACCTTGATATAAAAGGTGATAAGGGAATAATAGTACTGTTACAGAATTACTGCCAGAAAAAAAAAATTGACATGCTTCCCGACTCAGATTTATTTTTTTTAAACTGCTGCACCTTTTTTTTTTTTACTTTTAGGACCACATTTTAATCCCAGCGCTATTCATAATTTTTACGATAATATTGGATTTCTTGGTCCCGTGCCACCAAAACCCAAAGGTATTGTACTGGTAAAATTTGGATTTAATTCAAATACTTGGTTTGCATCTAACATCAAGTTCTAATTTACAAATCTATTTTAATGTTGATTATGGAATAGATTTCTTCAAAAGTATATGAACCTTGCATTTTATTTGTATTGGCAGTAATTATGCTTCTGTTTGCTCTTGTGTCCTCTCTATTTGTACATTCAGGAAAGAGAAGTATATTAAATGGGTTATGTTAAAGATGGATAATATATTGGAAGGTAGTTTAAGTAAATGGAAGTATCCATCTGTCTTTAAAAATGAGCATGAGGTACATTGCTTAGGGATGAGTGAAACTCATATGACTTGGTCATTGTGGTGAAGAGTGGATTTGCTTACATATAGCAATAACTCAGTTTGATTACCCTGACTGGACTTCTTGACTACTGAAGAGTTTGTATTAACAAATTACATGAAAGTCTCTTCTGACTATTGTTACATATAGTTCTAGCTAGTTGAAGAGGAAAGTAATGTAGCCCGGTAGGGCAGTCAGTATTGCTGAATATTAGCCAGTCTTACACATTCTGCTTGTCATTGGTACATTACTTATTTTCTTCCCTCTCAAGATGTCAAACAAAGCAGAATAATTACCTCTTGTGTGTTACATAAAGCAGAGAATGAAATTAACTTGTTTGCAACAGCATCATACTATGAACTTTAGACAGACAACCAAATGAAATAGATAATCCACTAATGTTTCTGTGCAATCTTTCTGTCCAGGAAGTTCTCCACATAATATGTATGTGTGTGATTGGTCCTTATTGTGTGCAGTAACTGTTGGTACAGAATCTCATCTTAACAGATTTCTGACCATTCTGTATTGTAAAATGGTCTAGATAAATAGGACCTTCTTTGTCTTCTAGACTGTTTGTAACATCTCCAAACTGATACTGTTTTTCATGCTTTATGAAGCTCTTTCTTTATCTTTTATCTGAGCTGTTAGTGAAAATACTGACTGAAGTTAAATCCATGCATACAATGTAAAATGTATCCTATTAGATACATTTTACAGCTGAACTATAAAGAATTTATAAGAAGTTTTGTCAACTATTTATTTACTGTAGTTCCCTTTACAGTAAATAAAAATTACCCTATCAAAGAAGAAAATTTAAATTAATTTTCTGTGACTAATTGTTAACATTTCCATTAGCTTATCTTCTAGGAACTCCAAAATTTAAGGTTTGATTCAATCTTGAAAATGCAAAATTAACCCTAACTGGTTTATAAAGCCCTGAAGTCCCTTTATCAATTGTCTTCCTTTTCTTCTTTCTTTTTAAAAAAGTATCACCGGTGTATCTTAATTGTTCGTTAACTTTAATTTTCAGTTAAACTGAATTAACTTAAAATTAACTGTCACATAGGCTTTGACTTAATCCACAATTACGGCTGTTCCCGAAAGAAAGAAAAATAATTCTTCTTGCAGTTGTGATCAGTACTGTTGTACTTTATGAAGATCTTACTGTCGTTTTGCAGCAATTGACATTGTCTAGTTGCTGATGAGACGTCCTGCAGTTGAAATAATGGGATGAAGGACTTTGCAGTTGCCTAAACTGGGAACCTTTAACTTGAGAAGTCACTCATTTCTCTTTTCATCTTTTTCATCCCTTTTCTCTTTTCTTCTTTTCTCTTTTAAAATAGTCTAACACATCATGCAAAAAGATGCACGTGTATGGTTAGGAGCATTACTCTGTAGCATGACAGAGCCAGGCATTGTTTTTTCTTTAATGTATCTGCCTGCTGAGCTGGCTTGAGGAAGAACTGCTGATACTCATTTTAGGGTCAAAAAGTTAAACGTGCCAGAAGGTTACAGAGCATTCTTGGCATAATGAATTTTAGACCTCAGACTTCTAAATCTTGCGCATGTTTCCTCTGCTGATTAATTTCTAAATTTTATCTGCTTTCCATGCAATAGCTTTGAACTGATGGCGGAAAGGAAGAAGGCAGAGTGAAGGGATGGGAAACTTGCTTTTTATAGTTTCACCTTGTGCCTTTTGGCTGACTTACAATCAAGCTGTAGTCAAGGGGGTGGTAAAAAGCTGCTTCTGTCACTTGTAATAACTGTGCTGTTCTCAGAGGAACAAGATAGTTCTCAGTTACTGAAAAAAAAAATAATCTCAAAATTCTTTCCATACTGTTCTTGGTTAGTAACTTCTTATCTTATCTCTTTCGTGTCACAGATCAGAGGTCCATTGTGAAAACACCAAAGACTGTTCCAGACACAGATGAAGATGAGGGAGCTCAGTGGAGCTGTACCGCCTGTACTTTTTTAAATCATCCGGCCTTAAATCGCTGTGAACAGTGTGAAATGCCCAGGCATTTCTGAGCCAACAGGCCCATTACCTTCTGTAAAACCACAGCAAACATACAAGGAATTATCCAGTCACTGGGGGGCAAAAAAAAGCATTTATGCGTAGGATTTTGTAAAATCGAAGTTGTGAGGAGATGGTATTTTGCTAATGTTCAGTGTCAGCCCACAGAGCAAGCAATACCTCAGTGTTGTGCTGCAGGCAGTTGAGATTGACCGGCTGAAGGGTAATCTGCTGAAAGACTTGCCAGCTGCCTAAACCATGTACAGTATTACCATTGTCCCAATAACAAACACCATGTTCAGTGCCTGGGTGTTGCCCATCCTCTTCTTTGCCCCGATGTCACTACTGAATTTTGACAGGGGAAGGGAATAGAGTGCTAGTGTTTTTGTTTTCAGAGCTCTCAGTGAAACACTACATGCACAGAGGAGATCTTAAAAGGAACAAGGTTTAAATATTTAAACTGTTTGCTGCCACATAGTGCCTTTGAAAAAAGGAAGAGCTTCATGAATCAGTGGTACTCTTTGCCTTGTCTTCCCTGAAAACATCTCTGTGAAGCCAGAAATCAGTACAATTACGTCTAAAGTTGAAAAGGAAAAACTGCATGCGTTGTCTGTACAATACACACAGTGAAATACCCCAAAGCTTTTCCTACTGTACATAGCTCTAGGGCCTGCTTTAAGTGATTTCTTTTCTTCACCTTTATTATTTTCTTGTAATTCTGTATGTATAGTTTAATAGTCTTTTTGTTAACTTTCTTTTTTTCCCTTTAAGTGATTAAGCACGATCATGTCCCTTTTTTTAAGCTTTTATCTGAGAGAAGCAATGCCTTAAAATAAGAGCATTAATAAGAAACTATGCACAAAATAGCTTTCCTCTGCTCGTTCTGTACATTGCTCTTGTAAATGCTGATGATCTGTGAAGACCTGCAGATGCAGCGTGGTAAAAATGCAGGAAAAGTTTGAAGAGTTACACATATAGTTCACTCTGTACACTGAGTTTTACGGTGGGTGACACAAAGGTAGCATTTTGTCTGGCATAAGGAAACTTTATACTAGGAAACTTTCAACCCACCAACAGATCAGCATCCGAGTTGAGCTTGCTTCATCTGCTGGGTGTCTTGCAGACTCCTGAAGAGAGATTCATTGGGGAAGTACATACAGTGCCAAAATCAACAGCAGCAGCATCGTACAGCTTTGTTCAAGGACTTTAAATGCTTTCCTGTTTTGGCAGCCAGTTTATAAACCTGACTTTGTGGTGAAGTCTCATATTTATAGAAAACAAGGATAGCAATATTTAGGACAACTGAAATAAAGGCTGGAAAAGAGAAATCAAACAGACTTGAACACTGAAGCAACCTCAAGCATCTCTTGTATTTTGATGATCTATTTTTTTAAGGAAAATACTCACATGATCGGGGATGTATGTAACTGAGATCAAGAAAATGGAATTCCAGTACAATATGCATGAAAGACGGCACACAAAGAATTATGTAGCAGCAGCACTTAGTGTGAGGCTGGAGGGAGTGCTAACAATGTAGCAAAAGATACAGTAGACTGTCACCCACTGTAAACATCTGCCAGTGGACACTTTTATTAGGAGTTTTACAAGTGATCTATGTGAATGCACAGAGGCCTTTGTTTTGAAGGCTTTGCATTTTTTTATGTGGGAAGAAAATGTCAATCCCAGGTAATTAGGCAGTAGACCCAAAGCACTTGCATTCAATGCATTTTGTTTATAAAATGAGGCCTTGTTTTTCAGCTTCATCTGCAGTTCTATGTGAAGATTGACAAATCAGTTTTTACCTGTTTATTAATAAAACCTAATTTGGATATCTTGAGTTGATGGTTTTGTGATTTAGCTGGGTAAACTGCCTTTGTAACAGATAAGTTATTTATAAAAATTAAAAAAAAATTATATTCTAATGTTTTCTTCTGTGATTTGTTTGCTTTTTCCATGCTGTGGAGCAACAGAATACTCAATGGAACAATAAGCATTAACAGTATTAAAAGTAGGATGATTTCTTATGACCAGAGTTTTTACTTTAAGCTTTTGTCTTGTAGAACCTTGTGTCTCTCCTCCCAGGCACTATTCTGTTTAATTCAGGGAGGGTATGGAATGTATTTCATAAAGTTGCACTGACTGAATTGTTTCCTGACCAAAGACCAGTTCACTTACTCATAAAGTAATAAGCTGGACACAGGCCCTTTTTACTTCATGCTTCAGAGGTTTACGATTTTAAAAATATTTTTCTAATCAAAATGGGTAACCACTTTCTCCAGGGCAATAGATGATATAGTTACATTAATATAAGCATCGTTTAAAGGATGAACATGGTTAAACTGTATTTTGGTGCTATGTATATAATAAGTGCTGTGAGATATGCAGTGTTCCTAGACACGTCTTTCCCCCATGGACCCTGTCTAAGCAGACATTTAGTACTTGGAGTTGGGCTTTCCTGCGACACAGTGATGCTGTGTAAAAGTCCTTCATGAGGCCTCTGTAAACAGATCTAGCAAAAAACTAACTGCAGATCCAGCAAAAAACTTTCCTTAACACATTCAACTGGAGTGCCTTAATCTGCAGTAGGAAATAAAGTGGTTGGAGCAAGGAGGGCAGCTGTATTTAAAAAGCAAACAACAAACTCCAGTCAGCTGTGGGGTGGAATGAGCATATTTGGAAAATAGGTAAGATGGAATTCTGCTCATTCTATAAAATGCATAATTGATCTTTTCCCTGCATTTATTTGAGAGTTATTTTTCTGAAGGGAAAAAAAAATTTACATCCTAGCTCCAGTTAGCTCTGCAGAGCCATCCACACAGTATGAGTGTGTATTGGGCAGTCTGTTCAATAAATGATCCTGGAATAGTGGGATAAGAGAAATTATGTCTCCAGTGTCACCTCTTCTACAGACTTTTGCCTTCACCTTCAGGGGTTTTATGTCCTTTGTGTATTTCAGGTCATGTGTATCGTCAGCACTTCCTTCAAGCTGATACCGGTATAGTGACATATCACTATAGTATGTCTTTATTGGTTTCAGTTAAAAGGATGAAATAGGACTGGATTTCGCTGCTGATATTTTTTAAATTTTCTTCCTCATAGAGGATAACTATAAAAAAAGAAACATTTGCAGTAAGGTTAAACTTTGTATTGTGTACATCGGTAGTTTATCTTGGATGCTGATTTATGACTTTACTTTTCTGTACTATCTTTGTCAGAGATCTCTGTAACTGTAAAAAAAAAAACCAACTCTTTGGCAGGAAGGCACTGTCCTTCCTGGCTTTCAGAGATGCTCCTGTTTTTTGTGAATGCATAAGATTATCACTTGGTCAAGTCTCAGAATAGGGGTAACATTAAAAATGTAGCAACAGAACTGAGACAAAGAGATGGTAACAGGCTGTTGTGTGTCATCATCTCTGTGGAACTGACTGTTCACCTTGCCACCTTTCTAGATAAATTAGAAAAACATTTGTCTTGTGCAATTGCCACTCGACAGAGCTATTCTGTTGGGCATGGGGTTAGGTGTGGCACCTCTGAAATTCATATTAATTGTGAGATTCAGTATCTTCAGTCTCAAGCTAATGATAGATTGGTTTATAAGCTGCATGGTTGGTATTTGTGACTGTCTGTGTATTTGCATTATTTGTGTGAATTTAATCAATTTTGTGGTCTCAAAATGTCTACCTTCAGTGTATTTTGTAGATGACCAGGGACAAAAGTATCTTTATCAGTACTACATTTCTTCAGTCAAATTCCTCTGCTATGAGTGTACATTGGAGCCTGGACACAAATTAAAGGGAGACTTGATTAAAGATATAGAACAAATAATTGAAAAAAAAGCCAACTATTGAATTTACCAAGTATTTATCCTTTTCAATACTATGTTGGTATTCTAAAATGGGAGTATTGCTACAAAGCAGTGGCAGAAACTTTACAATACAGTTAATTAACAGCATATATAATGCAGCTTCTGAATGCACAGCAACTCCCAGGAATATCTAATTCTAACTTTAGCAAGAAAAAAGATATTTTATTTGTCTCTTTATTTCTTAAAATACCCTTGTAAGTTGAACAGAAAATAGAAATTAGCTTTAAACTTTTGATTCCTTTCATGGGTACAGAGTAGAATAATAACAGGGTATTCCCTTTTAAGCTGACTGCTTGAATAGCTCTTTTATTGCTTACTTTGAGGAACAGTCTTTGATTTTATGTAGTCCAAAATGCCTTGTAAGATTCATGTTTTAAAGTGCATTGTGTTAATGGCTTTGAATTCTGTGGCTGCTTATTTTCCCACTGCTTATAGGAGCCAGTACAATTTTGATGTAGTTGATGTGGTAATGAATGGAGATGATGTATATTGAGCATTTCTAATGTGGTTTTGTCTTAGGACGTATTGGCAGACCCCATCCAGGATGTGACTGATAAGATTCACCTAAATTCAAGTTCCTGTTGGAAGCGATTTAAGATCCAAGGCTAAGAAATACAATGTTCGAGACACCAGGGAAATGGACTAAGGAATCCTGTCTTTTGTTCTTCATATACAGAAGCAAGTGTTGTTGCTTTTCTTGCACCCTTCTGTAACATGCAAATTAAAATGTGGCAAACATAAGGCCTCAAGGCTGGAAAAGGATGCGTTAGCATCAGGAACTTGGAATGTTCCATGAGAGAAATGCAGGTGTCACTGCTGTGTATCTGTTTATGTGACAGCCATGTCTCCATTGTGCACTAAGGTCTCACGCTTGCCACACTTTTTTACATGCCAAGGAAGGATTCACAAGGTTTTCATAAGAAAAGGACAGTGGGAAGCAAGTCCCTGGAGTGCCTCATCTGACTGGTACACAGGTGCTTACCCACAGGAGAGGAGAGGGGCCTGCATCTAAAAGGGGTTATTCTTCCTCTATAGTGTTGGAGATTGGACACCAATTCCTTAAAACAGTCTCAAAAGAAAGGCCAGTGCATCAGTAATTCTAAATTAGCTTTGTACCATCGTACTACAACAACAAACTGTTGGTGTTTTCTAATTAAGGTAGTAAATCTAGAAGTGAGTTCAAAACAGGTTAATGAATATTGATAGGTCTTCTGAGGTGACGGGAAACATATTTCAAATGAGAGAATGAATGTTTGTTCAGGAAGAAAACTTGATTACAAAAGTTATCAGCCTTAAAACTTTAAATAAAGAATAGTTTTATAGTGGTTTTATGTTGATCTAAAATTATAAGCAAAGCAATGTTTGTATGTACAGCAGATATAAAAAATATTTCATTTACAAACTGCTTATTTGTAGTAGTAACTCTGTACTTCACAGTTAGCTGTAAATTGGGGCCCCTTTTTTCTTTATTATTTGGGCTTTTTAATATATTTTTAATATTTGATATTTCATGTCTTGTAGTCTGGATAGAACAAAATGGGATGGATGGATTTATTTTTTTACCAAATCTTTTCTCATTTTTGCTCTTGTTGTTTGTATTTATTTTATGTTAGTCAAATTTTCAGAATTACTTCTTTAGTGTCTTACCTTATTGTCATGGAGACTTACTGTCACGTCATCTGGGGATCTGCTGGTCCATCTCAGCAATATTACTGTCTCACTGGCTCACTTTTGAAAAGATCTTCTGTTTTTGTGACATGGCAGCTCTGTGCCAAGAAGTGTACAGAACGTAAACCCAGCTTTTTGCTATTCCCTGTGCCTTTTCTCATCTCTGTTCTTATCTCTGGCTCTGTCTTTTCAGCTTTCCTTTTCTCCATCTCTAATGAGAGACTTGAACAAGCACTCAAGCCAAATTTTGTATGGTTTTTTGTAGCTATCCGATAGCTAGAGTGAAAAATTGGATTAAAACTGGGATGCATCTTTTGTTTTCTTTTATGAGCCTTTTTCTTCCAGCAGAGATCTTTGACACAATTATGAAAAGATTGTCATGAGATGTCTTTTCTGCCAGCAAGAATCACTTTTTGGTAGCCAGTGTCTACAGCTTATATTTGCTGTCATAGAGAGGATGTTGGATGCTATCATCAGACATCCAGCTTGAAATCAATATGGTTTGATGCCGCGTCACAGACTTGTTCAGTGGTTTGGGGAGAGTTGTGTAGGTCCTTGTCTATCTGTTCCATAGCAGCAGTATGACCTTTCTCACCTCTATGCTGTTTCTTGTGCAGTTCCTCTGCAATTGAGAAAGCATTTAGAGGTGTGTATCTCTTTTCATGTCCTCTGTCCACATTCCTGTATGTTAAGGTTTTGAAGGACTGGAGCTGTGTACTAGAAGATCATACTCTGCTGCTGCAACTAAGCTGCTGCTGGGCTTAAGCTAAAAAAAAAAAAAAAAAAGGCAGCATGACTCTTGGCTTTGGAAACTCTTCATAGTCCTTGGCACAGCTGCCCTGTATATGAGAAAAAAAATGTCTTGTTGGTGTTTTTTGAGCTGAAGAACATGACAAAAGCTTTCCCTCTTTAATAATGATTAGTAATCTGGGTTTTTTTCCTGCTGAGCTTGATACTTTTAAATTAACTGGCTTAGGCTTTTTGAACCCCTAAGGAAACCAAGTGCTGTGCTGCCTGACCACTGTTCTGCCCCTACGAGCTTCACTTCTGACCCTGGGACTCTGGACTAAATGAAACAGAGCAGCCAGCTAACATGGGCTGGGGCTGAATTTCCTTTTGTTAATGGACCCTGCAGCTGCCCTGATGGATCTCACCAGGCAGGGCTTTTCTGCCAGCTCCACAGCCCTGGCCATCAAGCTGCACCCTCCAACTGTATCTGTAGTTTTGCTCTGAAAAAACAAACTCTACCATTTTTCAAGGCAGCTGTGATGTGTTCCAGTTCTCGATGCTTCGAGAAAAAACAGTAGAGTTGAATGGTGGAGAGGGATAGTTTTTGTGAGTTATAGTTGCACCCAAAGCAACTGTCAAGCATTAACTGTGCCATATGAT